TGCCCTCATACCTGGGATCCTCCTGCCGCAACCTCCTAAGTAGCTGGAATTACAGGTGTGGGACACTATGCCTGATTTCATTTTAAAAATTATCTTCTAGTTGACTCTATAAATCATGACTTTGAGCCAGGAACCGATTTTGCAACAATATAACACAAAACAATTTAACAAAGGAGCTCAATCCAATCTGCAAACTGCATTGTTCTCTTCTAATGGGCCATTACACTATTGGGAATGTTGCCTACCCTTTTCCATGAAAAAGGCTCTTTTCTTCCATAGACCATCTTATCTGAGTCTGCCTATTTGGGGTAAATATCCTTACCACAAATGGCCAGACATGAAAAAGTTAGAGTTCAACAGTACTGTCTGATGAAGCAACACCAGGTGGCCATTAATGATCTTCCCTTCTATTATCTCAAGGCAGAGGGCTGCCTTGTGTGCACACTTCTGGGGTCAATGAGAGAAACAGGGAAGGGTGGGTTATCATTCTGTGATAGGGGAAGCATTGGCATTCCTGAAACTTTGGAACAAAAGCTATGGTTCTAAATAGCTTTCTTAGGCTTAGGGTGAAGTGTTTAGGCAAAAAGAAACAACTGGTAGTTAAGAGAGAGAGAAGCTGCAATCAGAAGGTTCCATTGCCTTCTCTGGTCTAATTCTCTCCTGGCCAAATGATTTTTGAGGTTCTTTCACTATCTTTTTTGTTTTGTTTTGTGGCCCTGGTGATTGATCCCAGGGGCGCTCTACCACTGAGCTACATCCCCCACAGCCTTTTTTATTTTTATTTTGAGACAGGATCAAAGATGCAGAAGCTGGCCTTGAATGTGTAATCCTCTTGCTTCACCCTCCTGAGTCGCTGGGACTATAGGCATTTGACTGAGCCCAACATCATCATCTCTTTGAATGGCTGTTCTTTCCCTTGTCAAATAGTTTAGAATCATTTTACTGCCTTACTGTGGGGCTTGATCTAGATGGCGTGCATGCAAGTCTCTAGGTCAGCAACTCACCACAGCATCGTCTAGAATGTTCACCTATGTTAAACACCAGCCCCCTGTGGAGCCCCAAGCCTCAGCTAGGGAGACAACTGTTTACATGTAACACTGCTTCCTTTCTTCCTCTAATTGGTTGAGTTCTAACCTATGTTTAAAATTTGTTTTAAGACAAAGATTTTGTTTGGTCACATGAAAATGCCCAAAATAGTCAATGCTATAATTAGCCCCAGCAGAGTCTTATTTCCAAAGTCACTACTGTTGTCGTCATCCTTTTTCTTTCTTTAATAAACCCTCCCCCCCCCTTTTTTTTTTTGGTCCCAGGACAGGCTTCTTTCTTACATGCCCTTTACAAAGAAAATTTCCCTGGCTGGCTGCCATGAGAGTCTCCACCCCACTTCCATTTTAAGTCATTTTTCTCTGTCCCAGCCTCTTCTGCAACAAAGGCAGACCAAAAACTTGCTATTCATTTTATTTTTTTTTTAAAGAGAG